ATTTCTTTTTATCAAAAAGTTTACTTAAAAACTTATAATAGAAACTATTATGTACTGAAATAAGTGATACAAAAATACAGAAATTTTGCGAAAATCACGTAAAATATAAACGTATTAGTGATTTTCAAAAAAAAAGATACTTGTTTGATTTTAAACAGCCTGGGTTGCAATATTTGAGGACTCAAAATTGAAGAGGACGCTGTTTTAATCTTGGCTGCTATTTACGGGTATCAAATAATATCATACAACTTTATTTTTTTTTCAGGACCAGATAAGGTTGCGTTTATGGCAAAAAATTCGGCAGCTTTGCAAAACATACCTTCAAAATCTGTCGTGGTATACAAGACAGTCGTAACAAATTTAGGAAACGGATACGATAAGTCCAGTGGGATTTTTACAGCTCCCTCAAATGGTGTGTACATCTTTTCCTGGACCGTTCTATGTCATTATGGCAAAAACTTTTACACTTACATTTCTCTAAACGAAAACCTTATAGCTAGAAACTATGCATCGGCCGGGGTGTAGCAGATCACGCCTCGGGAAGTCAGAACGTCATTCTTCAAATTAAAAAGAACGACAAAGTATCTGTACGGATCCAAGCTGGACAAACTGGGCAGTACATGTATGGTGATAGCTGGTCAACTTTCAGCGGTTATAAACTATATAACATATAAATTGATAGTTATTGATTTATTAATAAAAATCCTGAAGATTGTATTATTTTATTATATTGTGATGGTCCAGAATGTATGGCCAAAGATTCAAAAGACCCACTTTAAGAAACCATTTTGATTCTATATCTAAACACGAAAACATGTAACTTATCAGTTCAATGCACAGGCGCTTGAGGTTAAGGACTCACATTTGTCTTTTCCTGTTTTTGTTGGTGTTTAAGATTCTATATTAACTTTTCTAAAAATATTTCAACATATTACTCCTTATTTTTGGTATTCTGGCTTCTGTCAATGCATTCTTACAACACCTGTAGTATATACGTGCTACCCCTCTACACTACTATTTTTGATAGAGAGGCAGCACATGTCGGTATTAAAAATTCGTAAAGGATTCCGCGGAAACATGAGTATTGCCTGCTATTGCTGTTTGTCAGAATAAAAGAATAATGTTCATTGTCAAAAAAAAAGATATATATATATATACATGAAATATGAACAAAGTTATTCATGTTTTAACCCAAGCCTGTTTCCCACGACTGTATCGAACTGTATATTGACTACAACAAAACTTAGACCAGATACCCATAAAATACGGAATAATTAGAAACATGTTTTTCTCTGGATCATGTCTTGATTATGAAAAAAACTTCCAACCAAATTTCGTAAAAATCCTTGAAGGATTAACAAAGATAATGATTTCTTATCATTTTAGACAGAATCTATATGGTAACTGTAAAAAAAAACCAATAAGTCCATTTCTTAGTTAAATACGGGGAAATTAAAAAAAATACTTTAAAAATTTTGCCCTGGATACTTTTTGTTAAGCAAGAAGATCTTATGTCAAGGTTTGACAAAGATTTCATGCATGTTTTAAAGTTTTCTGACTTCAGACTGAATCTAAATGTAGACTACGCCGACGACTCCAACGATGCAATGATGACGGAAGTTGGATCGTTTTGCAGACGAGACAAAAAAAAAAACAGAAAGAAAAGAGGGACACATACCCCAAGCAAACCTTATGGTTTAATGAGATAAAAGAAAGATTTTTCTTGTGGAAATAATTATTAAGCACTTGGATCAATTCCCCAAGTAAACATTTTGGGTCATGGGGTCAAAGAAATATTTTTACTGTGTATTTTATTTTCAAAGTTCAATTAAATAAGTTTTTCTTGCGGAAGACTTTAAAATTGATCTCGAAAAGCTCTTTTGTACAATAATGGGTAAACAAATAAAAGAAAGAAGGGTGTGGGATAAAGTACAGAGAATATATGTGGTGCTGAAATATAAAGAATAGATATCCCACCCCCCCAAAAAAAAATAAGAATCAAGATCAATCTGCATGTGTACCACATATGGATGCTTGTTTTTTTGGTCAAGCTATAATAGTTTATAGATATAAGAAGATGTGGTATGAGTGCCAATGAGACAACTCTCCATCCAAGTCACAATTTGTAAAAGTAAACCATTATAGGTCAAAGTACGGCCTGAGGCTATAAATAATCAAAGTACTGAAGTACTGAACATCGGATGACCGCAGGTTCTTGTGTATGGTCAAAAGCACATGTCACAGAAACAGATCACATCTCTATACCTGAAACTGAGGTTAATTTACAGAGATTTTTTTTCTGATACAAGTTCCTGCTTGGATGATCAATAAATGACAGGAAATTCAACCTCACCGTAATAACTATTATATTGTAGTGATACAAATCAGTATACCTTAGACTATTATACTAATATAATAATAGTTCCAGAGAATACACTGGTTTGTTGTTATATATTATATTAATATTACGGTTGCATGTATATATAATTTTCATCTATTTGTAAATCATTCTATTCTACTATTATTATAGTGCAGTGCAAGTGCATGGTGGACACTCTTCTGTAAAAAAAAATCAAAGCTTTAAAGGCTGTAAAAGCAATTGCTGCCATGTTAATGCTTTGTGGACTTTTATTTTTCATCCATATATATAGGAATTAAACCTGACAGGACAGGAGTGTTGACTAGTGAGAAGCAAGACGGTTTTAACTTTATATCAATAAAAGACTTTAGCAGGAAATCATTTTAAATATGTTTTATATTTCACAAGGAGACAACAAGTTTACCAGGCTAAAGTTGGGGTTAATTATACATGTGCTGAAACATATAACTAAAAAATAAAACCAATATGGATTGTCCCCTGGTAGTGTTTGTAACTGGGCAATAATTTCCTTTATTGATTTAATTTTAACAATTTTCATAATTAATTTAAATTAACCATTCAGTTAAAACATTTCAACTTTCCAGACGCAAATGTTGAAAAACGGGCAAGAAATAAAATATCTTACAAGACATAAACATGTAAAAAATAAATATATATTTCAGCTTACTAAAAATATTTTCATAATGTTACTTTGACATCATTTCTTAAAACTAAGTCCCAAACATAATTGCTCAGTTGATATGTGTCATCCTCATGCGATACGAGATAACTATAATTCTGATGCAATCCCGAAAAGGGGGGTCATCACAAACAAACATGACATTAAATTGTCATTATACGAACTAGACTGAACAAACAGCTCTATGTTGCTTTGATATTTATCAATTTTCAGGAAACATGTGAAATAAATTTCAGGTCCATTTCATTATAGTGCCTAACAAGATTGTGTGAGGTAGACGAAATTGACCTTAAAACGATCGTATTGTCTTTTGATGTCCAAAAATAGGCAGATCGGACATATAAGGACTTTATCTAATGACTACATAAATTTGGGATTTATTATTTTTATAATATTCTAATGAAACTGAAAATTGTATTTTTTTGTTAGGATAAACAACAATTTTACCTGGCGTAGCCGTGCATAAAATGTTTTTCTGCGAAAAATGACGTATTTAATGGAATAGAACGTTAATACAGTAAACTTTCTCTTTTTTCTCCGCAATAGGCTATCAAAAATAATTTATCTAATGTGTATGTGGAAAATTATGTGAAAAGATAAAAAGTGGCAATTGTTACCTTTCATACCTTAAGTTTCATTCATATGCCGCTATTATTGTTGTTGTTACCAATTATGTAAATCAATTGTATCTGATTTTATGCCCTTTATGGGCCCTGTAATTTGGAAAATACAAAAAAAAAATCTATTCATTGATAAAACGTAATATGGACTGGTCCAGTGTCCAGTTTGCAGGTCATTTAATTTACTGTACACATTCATGCACGCTCTGATTTAATCGATATACTCGTACGAAAAAGCATGAACAGTTTGAAGGTAATCTAATAATAACTTAATCCAATCAAATTGCATAAGATTCAATAACAATGTCCAGTCCACATCATAATGAGTAATAGGGGGTAAACTTGGTAGGGAGAAAATGACAGATATTTCAAGTTAATATTTATGCAATAACGAATTAAAATTTGTCAACCAAAAGTTTTGCTACAATTTCAAAAACATGTCGTTCTGTATGGGTATAGTTTTCGGATCTTTCATTAGCGTATTTAGGCTATAAAAAGTTTGGGCTTCAAAAGTTCACACAATTATTGACTTTATACAGAAAATTCGTCCTTGTAAAACATTTAATAGTTAGCAAATGATACGCGATTTTAAAGTAAAATTATTTCTTAAAACACTGCAAAAAATTTCATTCATATCTATAAAGTGGTATCGTCATAAAGTGCGTTGAAATGAACAGTGGTATAGCAAACATCGAATTTCCTCACAAAATGTTATCACACACTATAGTAAGGGGAGTCAGTTAAGTTTGTTTATTTTTAGATTACATGTAATCATTTGACATTACGTATACAACCTGTGTGACCTGTGTAGTGATTTTGATTTTACGATAAATTCATGAATGAATGAACGATAATTTTATGAATGAACATGAGCACCTGACCTCTTTCTTAAACACCAATTAAACATATAAAACCGTAATTAAAAGGAGATAATTCAGTCAAATTTTCAGTACTAAATCAACAACTGAAATGATTCCATTTTTTGATGAAACATCGTACGAACGGAAAACGGAATCGCAGGTATAAAAATGCACTTTTTTCCCTTGTAATGACCGCGGATCTATAATTTTTATAGATCGGTTGAAATCCCAAAACTAATTTGCATAATGGAAATTTAGGCGATAGCAATACATCGGAATGACCTGAAGGTCATCCTCTGTAAAAATCGATGTCGAACTTGACTAATTCATTTTCTTTGACTCATTTGAAAGTTTTTAGAAAGTCGACCTTACATTTTCGACCTATGTACGTAGTCTAATTTTTTTGTCCGTGATTTTGCTTCCTTGTTATTCACATTGATTTGGACTTAATTTACAAAAAATGATCAGATTGCGTGTTAGTAAACGATCTCTTGATATATTACCCAAATATTAACCAAACTGAACAGGTCCAAAAGGGAATCAACCAACATCGAAATGAGGTATGTTATTCGTTTCAGATTGTTTTAACTATAGACAGTGTCATATATAATTTATAGGACTTTACTGCATATGTCACTTTTATAATAGTATGATAATAGGCTTTAAAATAGATTCAGTTACCTTTAGAGACATTTTATCGGGAATCATCAAAGCGGTCTTTTGCCGTGTAACCAGGGATACTTTAACGCCAAGTTTATCTGTTAGTAAAGTACGAAAAACGAGAAAAATGTATTTTCAAAAATGCTGTTTCAGATATGATCTTTTTATCATAAAATAGCAATTGTTTCGAAAAATTCCACAATGGTTTACAAATTCATTGATGCTTAAAAAAACTCCATAGCACCTGAGTTTACCTTCGGTTTTGTTGGGGTTCGTGTTGCTCAATCTTTACTTTTCTATATAAGTATAGTGTTTTGTGTAGTTGTTCGTCTTTTCGTTGTTTTCAGTTTTTTTTAGCTCACCTGTCCCAAGGGCCAAGTGAGCTTTTCTCATCAAAGCGTCCGTCGTCCGTCGTTGTCCGTTAACATTTACAAAAATCTTCTCCTCTGAAACCAGTAGGCCAAATTTTAATTAACCAAACTTTGCCACAACCATCATTGGGATAACTAGTTTAAAAACATGTGTCCGATGACCCTGCTTGCCAATCAACATCGTCGCCATCACTAAAAATAGAAGATTGGGTAAAATGCAAGTTTTGGCTATTATCTTGAAAACTGGTGTAGAAATGTTCATGACATTAAGGTCTACCTATTGTCCATTTACACCAAAACTGTCATACTCCTTTTTATAAGAGTTATTGCCCTTTAATGACGATTTTTACCATTTTTTTGCATTTTCCTCTTTTATCTTAAAAACTATAATAGAGAGGAATTTTAAACAGCAATTTGACCAGCAAGACAAGATCTACAATAAAGTAACAATTCTGAAATCGTCTATATAAACCTCTATCGTTCAGTTTTAATTTTATTCAAAAAAAGGTACCTTTTCCATGTATAATCCTTATACAAAATCTGATAATTTTTCACAAACTTAAGCTTTAAAAGCCATACTATTTATTATGGGTTTGAAGTTATAGTATTTTGGCAAAGTATGGAAAACTCTACCTCTTTTTATATATAGACGCAAATATACCATAACCACTATTCGATTGACAGCAGACCGAAATCCGATTTTTTGAAAATATACTCATTTTGTTGTGACTAGATATAGATTTTTAAGTAACTGTTTTCGTTATCATACATAAGGATCAATGTTTTATGCAAGGACGTACTATCGACCACGAATGCATGTAATGTACTTTTTATAATTGTTTTTGTTTAGCGCTTAGCGGAAACAATACCAGCAACACAAGATAAACAAAAATGAGATATTTTTGTCATGAATTCTATTCTAGTCCACAATGTTGTAGAGTGTCATGTTAAAGATGCACGGTGACCTAGTTGAGCGACACAGGCTCTCTAGAGCCTCTAGTTGTCATGGTGTTGTCAGTTTTTCTTGAATTTATGAGTTTTTAATGTTCCCTTGGTATCTGCCGCGCCTCTAATTTTTTGGGTTAAAGTTTTTTAGGCATTAATAACTTTGATAAAACTTCGAAGAATGTTTTAAACTTTGTCAGAAGCTTTTTTTGCTATGAGATAATGTCTGTTGTCGTGAAATTTTGATATTATTTTTCATAATTTCAAATGTAGGCAAAACACATGGCTCCACGGAAATTTTTCAAATGTTTTGATAATATAGCAAATTGAAAATGTTATTAATCTACTTGTTGGCCTCTTAAACCATGTACAACCTATTGCAGAATCGATAGTCGGTTGGTTTAGCTGAAACGTTCATTTCAATGTTTGCCGATTGAACAACACTAACATTACTTATAAAGCTTATTGGTGTGACACATTAACTTTGAACTTCTTTTTTAGTTTATTTCAGATAATCCTACTGTCATGTGTATCGACACTTATTGTGACAGGACATAAATCCTGTTCTAGAAATGCTAATATCATGAAGAGTATACAATACCAGCTTAAACTCGTTGAGGAAAATGATGGAAAATGTGATTGTACAGGAATAAGTTCAGGTACTGGTAATTGCATTTTTACAATGCGTTTAAAAATTCCGATGAAAGGTCATTATCGGATTGTAGATCGATCGGCGTTCCGCCCTTCTTTTCATGGTAGGGCTGAAAGAATTTCTATGGCCACGTAATTTATCGTTATTGTCTATCGAGCTCGAATCCAGGCTTCACGATTTTTAGGGGGTTGTATTTGTTCGTTTGTTTGTTTGTTTGTTATACATATATGTTTTGTTCCAGGTTAGGGGAATGACTTGGACCAGCAAACTAGTTTAAACTCGCCATATTCTTTATGTGCCTGTTCCAAGTCAGTAGCCTGTAGTTCAGTGGTTGTCATTGGTTCATGTCTGTCATATTTGTTTATCGTAAATTGGTTTGTCATAAATTAGGCCGTTAGTTTTCTCAATTGAATAGTTCACATTTTTTCATGTCGGGGTCTTTTATAGTCCACTATGCGGTATGTGTTTTTCTCATTGTTGAAGGCTGTACGGTTATCTATTATTGCTTACACCCACTTCCCCTTATTTTTATATTAACAACAGTTACTGTATCAAATCATATACGCTCGGTCTTTACCTCTATAACTTAACCCGCAAGCCCCTATATGCCGAACACACTAGAATGAAATGGAATTCGTCCTCAATACATTGTCCACATACTCTGCATAAACGACCCATTACAGATACATTTAGAAAAAGGCCAGTCTCAATATTTAATGCATGTGAAGATAGTTTTACTTGGATAATAGCCCTCCGGCACAAAGGAGGAATATATTTAGACACACAATTTTATAAATCAATGTTTGTTATAATATGTCGGTATATAACACACTTGCTACTGCTTTCTAACAAAGAATATAGATCCTGTGCTTTACCTTTGTTAGGCGCTATCTTATTAGAGGAAAAGCGTTTTCAAATGTCAGTTCAGTCTGGTGTACATTGTAGCTACAATTCGCCTAATCCTATATTTGATAACTAATCCTTAATTAGTTTTACCCAATTCGTCGACTTACGCAATGTGTAAACACAAGCAGCTATAAGATCCTTGTAAACACTTTTCAAAATACATTTATTTGTGTTTCAAACTTTAAGCCAATATTTCAAAACCTGCAATTTATGTCTTATTATTAAGGGAATTCGTCTGAGCTCAAAATACACCATGCCAGTATTGGTTGATTACTCCAGTAATCTTTTTCAAAAACAAAAACGAAATTTTTGTCGATTTCATCTGATTTGGAAAATCCTTATAGTTTATTTATGGTGGCCGGTTAAGGCCATTTCGCGTTTACGAGTTTTCGCGTTTTCGCCTTTCATATTCTTTAGAGCGAAAACGAGAAACGGTTTCACTACTCGTTTTTGCCTTCTCGTTTTCGCTCTATAGAATATACGAAAGGCGAAAACGCGAAATGGCCTTATCCGGCCACCCTAGTTATTCCTGTTTCTAAAGTTCGTACAAATAAATAGCTTATATTTTCCTACAATGTACATATATATTGTATATGTTTGATTACTTTCAGGACCGGATAAAGTTGCGTTTATGGCTAAAAATTCTGATAGTTTGAAAAACCTCCCTTCAAAAGCTGTTGTTGTATTCAATACAGTTATAACGAATTTAGGAAACGGATACGATTCGTCCAATGGGATTTTTACGGCTCCTTCAAATGGTGTGTACGTCTTTTCCTGGACCATTCTATGTCTTCACGGCAAAGAATTTTACAATCAACTTATTCTGAACGAAAACATCATTGCTAAAAATTTTGCATCGTCAGTGAATGTAGCAGACAACGCCTCGGGAAGTCAAAACGTTATTCTTGAAATTAAAAAAAACGATAGAGTATTTATACGGATTCAGGAAAGAAGAACCGGGCAGTACATGTATGGTGACGGTTGGTCTACTTTTAGTGGTTACAAACTATATAACCTGTAAAATGTTAGTTGCGTGGTATTAATTAAAAATCTGCAGACTTTATGTCTTTATTATAATGTCTTGACATAGATTTATTGATTGTTTTTTTGGTGTTTTAACGCCACTGTCAGCACTATTGGCTATTTCATGGCGGCTAGTTTATATTATGGGAGGCAGCTGGAGTGCCCAGGGCTAGAGAACCACTGACCTTCGGCAGGAAAAGTGGCAATCCCAGTCAATTAAGATTGGATTGATGAAATAGAATATATGAACATAGATTCAAAGATTCAAAAGAACCGCCTACACACTGTAAATAAAAGTGTTAAGAATCTGAACACTTCTTGAACGCCCTTTTGTAACATTTCTGGAACGCGTAACAGTGTTCTAAATATTAACATTGGTGTTCCAATTTATAACATCATGTGTGTATCTTTCGAACACTATGTGTGTACTTCTTGAACATATAGTGTGTACTCCTGAACGCTTAGTATTTGATTCTGGGTGAGCAAAATTGTACGCCGTTACGTGTTCCAAGCCTTGTAACACTTCTGGAACGCTCGGACTGTGTTCCAGAAATATGTGTTAATATCCTGAATGCATAGTGTGTACTACTGGAACACATTTGTACATGTTCCAGAAAAAAAGTGGTCCATTCTCTGAAACATTTTTTGTGGTCAAGTAAAAATAATAATTGAATATTTAAAAAAAATCTTTAATAGACTAAAAGAGGCAAAATTCACAAAAAGACAATACAATGAGAAACATTTCAAAATCACAAGTTGGACATTCGAAATAACATTATAATCAAATTGTCAAAATGTGTCCAAATTTTTATATAGCGCTGATTCTCTTCCTCAGCTCGTCCATCTCTGTTGTTTTAATTATGCAAAAGTTTCGTCACATTAAAAATGATTACTTTGCAAGCAAGTCTACAGGTATATGAAACAATAATAAGTGGCTTTTCTTCTGTCAGTACATGCATACATGTTTTCAACATAGTTTAACTCATATTTTGCCGCCTCTGGAGTAAAGCACTGCCCTGAATTTCTTTACAAAAAAACTTTAACTTCATTGATGACTCAGATGTACATGGCTCATTCATCACTCATATTTTCCATAATCCACTGCCTGCATATCACTTCAGATAGTCAATTATATATCCAACAAACAATACCCTGTAGATTGCTTGTTATTCAGTCGGTGCTGATGTAACACTGCTCTAGGCATTTAACATGATTTGAGTTGCATATAAATGTTTTTGAGCTCCCCGATTCTACAATGTATAGCTTTAAAAAAAAAAGCCAGTTTACAGAAAATAATCACCATTGTTTTAGACAGCATTATGTCTTTAAACAAATTTAAAGACACGAAATTGACTGCAGACATCTCAAGAATCTGATGATCATTTGTAAAATGTACTAGTCAACAAAAGAACTTGAACGATACAAGGCAATGTATTTTCTATACATAATGAAATTGGATATACTGTAACAAGGTAAATAATTGCCCGATTGGTCTAATATTTACAGAGTGTTATTTTCTTATCAAAACCATTGATTTAAGGCAAATACGCGATTTTTTGTTGTTGCAATTTTTGTTATTTCAAAAATCGTATTTTCACCCAAATATTCAAAAATCGATATTGGACCTTAAAATTTTAAACTTAAACATGGTCTGCTTAAAATTTTGAATGTCTTTGCAGACATTTGATTACTTAATTCTCATCTTCGAAATTAAGTGCCGACTTTTGTCATCATTTTCCGCAAAATAAAGTTGACCCCTGTGTTCAATAACACGGTATTTTCTCACTTTCCAATTTGGTCAGATTCTTTAAATCATATGCATTTGCTTTGCAAATGAATGTTTTTCATTGGATAATTTAACAGTTTTTCCTGTTTATTACATTTTATGATACATTGGAGTTCAAACTTATGCATCGTTACTTTTGTTGACTAGTATATATATGCTTCAAGTCCCGAAGACCTCTTTTCAGAAAATGTTTAGGAATTTCATCATTGGAACTACAATTACGTTTTTACAAATGTGCATCCTCAAAAATGTGAGTAATCGCCTAACTGTAGCTTTCTATAATTTCTCATTATGTGCTCTGTGTGGGTTTTTTCACTTTAAATTTTTCCCATCTGGCAGTTGTGAATTAGCATTTACCAATAGTGAAAGACAAAAAAATAGGATCATTTTCGTTTATTCTCACAAAGTACCTGCTTATTTCGTTGAAATAAATTGTGGCATAACAGCACGTTTCAAACGACTTATACTTTTTACTTCCATTTACTTCAATGTGTCTTGTCAGAGGAGGAAATTTTTCATTGAAATCCATAGACATGAAATGGTTTATTTCGTAGAACACTCAAGTGTTCAAATTCAGAACACTGTTCTTGAACATGTGTGTTAAAAGACTGAACATAATGTGTTCTATATTTTAACTCTGGCGTAGAATGTGATACACTGGTGTTATAAACCGAGCATATTGTGTGCAAAAATTAACAGTGCACATACCTTTAAATTTTGACTATTTATCTACACAAAATAACTGCATGGTAACTTGTTCATTGCACAGGCGCTAATGGTAATTTTTTCTTTCTTTTTTTACTTCATTATAATATTTCAATTCGTTTTCCCTTATTTTATTTGCTCTTGCTTTTATCAATGATTTTCATACTCTTGTTTGCATTGGCAATACATTTTCAATGCACCTGTTATTATCCTAAATATAGGTGTGATATTTGTTGCTGGACATCAATTAGTTAATCAATCAATCAAAATCTAATCTTATATCTTTCGGGTTTTTTTCCAAGAGAGTTTATGCAAAATGTTTTTTTTTAAAATTGGAAACGCTAAATCATAATTCTGTTTCAGCTTCCATCCTTCAAAATTCATGACCGCCATCCTAACAGTCAAACCCCTATTCTCAAAAAAAATCTTGTGATAATACTGGCATTCTAGAAAAATAGAGTAGACATTTGAGAGCTTTATATTTTGATAAACTTATCTGAACTTTGTATATTAAAATACATTCATCATTACTGGAAATCATTGTAACATCTGATGAACTTACAGGCTTTGGTTAAAATGCATGGAGAAACCTTGAAAGAAGCAAGCTCACATTATCCATGCCGTCCACATAAAAAGCTAGTAGTCACCTGTCGTTAATGTTTTCGAATTTAAATATTCATCCAAATTGGAAAGTATCCGAAAAAAATGTAGGCGCTATCCTGGCGACAAAAATTATAACAAGGAATATTTAACGTGCTCCCCACCATCAAATTGTCCCCCATTTAAGATTTTTCTGTTGATTTTCTGTTTTATAATTTGGAACCTTCAAACAAATTTGAAGAGGATCTTATGAAATATGAAGGTCCTATCCTATAGTGACAAGAATTAATATGGGATACTTATTTATAAGCCCCCATCCAGAAAAAAAAATCATGGTCGCGACGAAGTGATGATGGATGGACTGACGAGTCAAAAACATTATACCCTCCTTAACTTCTTAATTGATTAGAATAGAATAAGTTTTATACAATCTTGAAATAATTGATTGATTGATATTAACTGTAGAACTTGAAATGTAACATATGTTATGTCTTATTTAGTTCTCTGGTAATGTATGGTTATACCTGGTACATACATGAATCTTAGGACTGTTAGTGTCCTAGGATATCACCAGTCCAGTAGCCAGCACTGTGGTACTGGCATGATAAAAAGGAGTTATTTTATTCAATACTGTAGAAGTCATATTCTAAGTTAAGAAATGTATTTTCCTCATTCAAAGATCTGATTCCTTGTCCAGGTTTAACTTTACGTTTGGTCCTCTTTGGTTTTATCAGCTCTTCAACGTGTGTATTATGTTTTTGGACTTTCAAACATTTAGACCTCGAGCATGTTGAAATACGCATCTGAATGCAGTAAAATTGGTACCGTTAATATTATTAACCTACAGCACATTCACCTGTTTTTATGTGCCTGCCCAAAGTCATGCAGGATCAGCCTGTAATTCAGTGGTTGTTCGGTTGGTTGTTTCTGCTATATTTAGTTTTCTTTTATTGTTTTGTCATAAATCAGGCCGTTGGTTTTCTCGTTTGAATTGTTCACATTTTGTCATGTCGGTTCTTTTCATAGCTGATTATTAATTAGGTATGGGTTTGTTTCACTATTGAAGGCCAAGAATTTTATTTTATTTTAGTGTTCTTAATTTATAAGATTTGGAATGTTTCGCTATTGACTCGTCTATTTTATGGCGAAATAGGTATACCAATTTAACCAAAATATTTAGATATATATATATATTTAACATTGTTGTTTAGAGTAATTATGAATATAATATGTGTTTTCAGCCGTGTATCATCTTCACTGGTGATCCATTGGATGGATCTGTCGTAGAGTTTTTACTTGTTTAGACGTACTTATCAAAATAATTATTTCTGTGACTGCATCATACGATCCTTTAGTACAGATAACTTAGCTAATCTGCAATTAATTCCATCTTCATGCCTAATATATCATGTACTGTGTTACAACTCTAGATTCTACTGACGAGGAAAGGTAACACTAGGCCACCGAAAGCTGAATATAATATGTGTTTTCAGCCGTGTATCACCTTCACTGGTGATCCAATGGATGGATCTGTCGTAGAGTTGTCACTTGTTTAGACGTATATATATTCAAGAGTCTATCCTAAATTGAGGTAAATTTTATGGCCTTCCAAATACTGTTTCGATCCCTAACATCACTGAAGAGACATTAATTGTCGAAATCCGGATATGGTGTACTAATTTTTGCACCTTTTGTTTGCGGTATACCATCTTTTCCGCAAGTTTATTGTTTTCTGTTTGGTATTAGATTATTAATTTTTAAAGATCCATTGTGGTACATCTTGTGATCCGTTTATTTGGCAATCGCCAATGGCAGTCAGTAGGGTTTAAGAACATCAGTTGTTCGACCTGTTAGTCAAATGCGTTTTGTTAAAATATACTTTTTCACTTTTTTGGTCTTTTGGAAAATGTTGTTTGTGCTGTATTTAGACCCCT